GATTTCCTTTGGGGAGATATATATATATATATATGTCTCCAGAAGTGGGATTGCCATACTGTTTTCTATGTAGTTATATTAATTGTCTTTTTCACAGTTTGTAAACATTCACTTTACTTTGTATCTTCACCAGGACTAGTTTTATTAACTATTCTAACATGTGTGAAATGTAATCTTAATATTTTTTTGATTTGCATTCCCTGATGATTAGTAATGTTGGATATTGTTTCATATACCTGTTGGCTATTTGCACGTCCACTTTTGAGAAATATCTATTCAAAAATTCTGGAGACTGAAATCCAAGGCATGGCACCATCACTTGCTTGGCATCTGGTAAGGGCCCTCTTGCAGTTTTTATCATGTAGTAACATAGAGCCAAAGTGGCTTTTATAGCATATGCTCTTTCAAGATAATCCAGCAACCCACTAATGAACCCTGAGCTCTTGTGACCTTATCACCTCTTGAGAGTTCCACTAGCCCCACCCCTTAGTACTTCATCATAAGAGTTCAATTTCAATATAAATTTTGGTGGGAACATTCAAACCAGAGCATCTCTTGTCAGATGTATAGTCACCCCTTAGAATTTGTGGGGAATTCGTTCTAGGACTCCCCTAAGACATTAAAATCCAAAGATGCTCAAGTCCTTTATATAAACTGGTGTACTATTTGCATATAGTCTTTGCATATACCCTTGTGTGCTTTAAATCATACATGTTTGGTACAGATACAATTTTTCCTGAATATTCTTAATCCACAGTTGATTGACTACACAGATGCAGAACCCTTAAATATTAAGGACCAACTGTCATTTGTAAATATTTTCTCCTATTCTGTAGGTTGTCTCTTCAGTCTATTGATTGTTTGTTGTGCTGTGCAGATGCTTTAGAGTTTGAGCTAATTCCATTTGTCAAATTTGTCTTTTGTTGCCTTCAATTTTGATGTCATATCCAAAATATATGGCTCAAACCCATGCCATGAAGCTTTTCTTCTATAGTTTCTCCTATTATTTTCATAATTTTCAGTCATTCATATAAGTCTTTAATCCATTTTAAATTTATTTTTGTGTATGATGACAGATAAGTTTCTAATGTTATCCTTTGCATATGGATTATCCAGTTTTACCAACACAGTTTATTGAAGAAATAATCCTTTTTTCTCTTGGTACCTTTGTTGTAAATAAGTTGGCTATATATGTGGGTTTATTTCTGGTATCTCTATTGATCTATGAGTGTCTTTTGATGCCAGTGCCATGCTGTTTTGGTTTTGTAGTATATTTTGAAGTATGGTCCAGCTTTGTTCTTTTGCTCAAGATTGCTTTAGCTATTTAGAGTCTTTTGTGCTTCCAAATAAATTTTGGGATTGCTTTATCTATTTCTGTGAAGAGTGTCATTGGTAATTTGACAGGAATTGCAGCAAATCACTTTGGGTAGGATGGATATTTTGATAATTATTTATTTTTCCAACCCATGAACACAGGGATTCTGTCTATTTATCCACAACTTCTTCAATTTCTTTCATCGGTACTTTATAATTTTAACTTCCATGGATAAATTTATTCCAATTTTTTTGGTAGCTGTGGTAAATTATTTTCTTGATTTTTTTTCAGATATTTTAGGTTTTTCAGTTGCTACTAGTATATAGAAATGCTACTGACTTTTTATATGTTGATTTTCTATCTGCAACTTTACTAAATTTGTTCATAGATTTAGCAGATTTTTGGTGGAATCTTTAGGGTTCTTTCTATATAAGCTCATGTTGACTGAAAATTGGACAATTTAGCTTCTTTTCAATTTGTATTTCCCTCTCTTTTCTTCTTTTGCCTAATTGCTCTGACTAGGACTTGAAATATTGTGTGGAATAGAACTTGTGGAAGTGAGCAACCTTGTCTTCCAGAGATTAGAGTAAAAGATTTTACTTTTTATTTGTTCAGCTTGATATTAGCTGTGGAATCATCACATATGGCCTTTATTATGTTAAAGTACATTCCTTCTAGGTCTAATTTGTTGAGAAATATTTTAATCATGAAGTGATGTTGAATTTTGTCAAGTGCTTTTTCTGCGTCTATCAGAATTATCATGTTTTTGTCCTTCATTCTGTTAATGTAATGTATCACATTTATCAATTTGTGTATGTTGAGCCATACTTGCATTCCTATGATGAATATTAATTGACCATGGCGAATTATCTTTTTCTATGTGCTGTTGAATTCAGTTTATTAATTTTTTTTTGGTACCAGGGATTAAACTCAGGGGCACTCAATTACTGAGTCAGATCCCCAGCCCTATTTTGTATTTTATTTAGAACAGGGTTTCACTGAGTTGCGTAGCACCCCACTATTGCTGAAGCTGGCTCTGAACTCGTGAGCCTCCTGTCTCAGCCTCCTAAGCTGCTGGGTTTACAGGCATGTGTTACTGTACTACTGGCCAGTTTATTAATATTTTATTGAGGAATTTTCCACCTATGTTTATCAAAGATTTTGATCTGTAGTTTTCTTTTTTTTCTTGTGTCCTTGTCTAGTTTATGGATCAGGGAAATGTTGACCTCATAGAATGAGTTTGGAGGTATTCCTTTCTCTTTAATTTTTGGAATGGTTTGAGAAGAATTGTCAATAGTTCTTGATGTATTGGGGTAAAATTCAGCAGTGAAGTCATCAGGTTTTGAACTTTGATAAGAGAGTTTCAATTACTTATTCATTTTCCTTATTCATTATATTCTGTTCAGATTTCCTGTTTCTTCACAGGTCAATCTTGGTAGGTTGTATATGCCCAGGGACTTTTTTTCTGGATTATCCAACTTGTTCATAATACTCTCCTATGATCCTTTGTATTTCTGTGGCATCAGAAAAATTCTGTATATTTTAAGTGGTTTGGATGTGGTTTGTGTCTCACAAGAGATCATGTGTTGAAATTTATCTCCATTGTGAGGAGTTAAGAAAGTGGACACTTAATCTGATTATGGTATTTAAAGGTGATGCCTTTCAGAAATGATTAACAGAATTAGAGAAGGTCATCAGGATGGAGCCCTCATGATTGAATACTGATGGCTTTATAAGAAGAGGAAGAGAGACCAGCAGAAATACATACACAAATACACCTGATCCTTATTTCTTTCCACATTATGCCCCGTGTTCCTTTGGGACTCTGCCAGCAATAAGGCTGTCACAAGATGTGAGTCTTTAATCTTAGATCAGAACAACTGTCAGCCAAAATAAACCTCATTTTTTTTAAAATAAAGTTACCAAGCATCAGGAATTCTCTTTCATCTTAGTAGCACAAAATGGACTAATATACTATTGTCATGTATTCTTTTACACCTTTGATTTTTTTTTCTTAGTGCAGCTAAAGATTTGCTGATTTTTTTCAAAAACTCTTACATTTTGTTGATCTTTTGTTTTTGTAGGCTTAATTTCATTTGTTTCTACTCTGAACTTTATAATTTCCTTCCTTTTGAGTTTAGTTGCTTTTGTTTTTTCTAATTCCTTGAGGTGCAACATTCAGAGGTTTATTTGTGATCTTTCTTCTTTTTAGATATGCATTCAGTGCAGTTCATTTCTCTCTTAGAGCTGATATTACTATATTACATGGATTTCAGTAGGTTATGTTTACATTTGCATTTGTCTCAAAAACTTTTAAATTTTCCTTTTGATTTTTTTCATCTATTTGTTGGCTATTTAAGAGAATATTGTTTAGTTTTCATCTATTTGTAAGGTTCCTGAAGTTTCTTTTATTATTGATTTCTAGCTATCTGCCATTTTGGTCAAAAAAGATCCTTGATGTTTTCAATCTTATCAAATTAGTTAAGACTTGCCTTTTGGACTAACATATGATTTGTTCTTGAGGATGTTCCACGTGCTGTGGAGAAGTTTAAATTTGTTGTTTCTTTGCTGATTTTCTCCCTGGATGATTTGTCCATTGCTGAAAGCATGGTATTGATACAGTCTCCCCTTTCAGTTACAATACCCTACAGTCTCCCCTTTCAGTTCCCAGTTCTTCATTCTCTTTGGCTCAATTCTTCTCTGTCTTATTATTATTATTATTATTATTATTATTAATTCAAGATCAACAGGGCCTTTACAATGACTCTGTCCTATTGATTGCTGGGATCTCTAAATCAGCATTTTTCTACATTGACCCACTTCATGAAATCACACTTTCTATCCTGTTATGTTTGTTCATTTCATTTACATCTTTGTTATCCCTTACTTTTGTCTCTTACACTTCACTAGGTTCTAGACTGAAGTCTATTTGTTCCATTCCTCCACTGGCACAGTGGAAGAAAAAAAAGAAAAGCAGATAAACCAAGTTACTTTAAAGCTATATTCTCGTCCCTGTTAATTGATCTTAAAATAGTTAAGAATTTTAAGGCCTAACCCTGGCATCTTTCTATACCTTCTTAAATAAGCACAGCAAGGGAAAAGTCCAGGAAACTAGCTCTACCTTGTATAGCTCTGCCATTCACCAGCACAAAACTTTGATTACTCATTTAACTCTTTACCTTTCTGTCTGTAAAAGAAAAAAACTATGTCTGAGGACTTGAAACCCACCACAGACCTGGATGTGTATTTTACTAGCCCTGTTTAAAATCATAGAAAAGCAAATTCCATACTCGTGGGTATAGTAGCAATAGAGGGAGGAGGGACTTACTGCCAAAGCTAGGAACTGCAAGAGTCTTGAGGCTCCTTCCTTGAAGACTGAGGCACTATGAGAATCAGAAGGTAATAGGCCAGATGTGGGCTGCAGTATAAATTACTTGGAGGCTGCCTGGGCAGAGAGATTTGATGGTTGCTTTTTCTCCATCCCTGCTGAGTCTCTCCTCAGGTGTTCTCTTCCTGTCCCAACTCACCACATTTCCTTCCTTACCACCCCAAACTGATCTAATTTTCATTCTTAACTGGTCCTAGTTATAAAACCAAGACCTCTTCTACATTATTACTCATATTTATTCAATAAAATTTTAAGCTCTTTGGTCAATACTGTTTTAAAAACTAGAGGAAGGTAAAGTCAGATGAAAAGTAATTTTTATTTCATTGTGGTCTGTGCTGCACTTTTTCCCTGCCCTAGATGGAAAAAGGATTCTAGACTTTTATTTAGCCACAGGATAGAATATGATAGTCATTTCCAAAGGTCAATCTCTTCCCCCTGACCTCTTCTTAGGTTGAAATAGAATAAAAGTATATATATGGTCTATATATGTATTAAAATAATGTCTTTCATTCCTCACTTAAATCTTATGAGAGGGAAAGCCATTTTTATTCAATTGTTCCCAAGGCAATAACTTGGAAATCTGCTTTGATGGGAATAGAAACTTATAAACAATAAATTCAATAGACCTTTGTTAGAAAACCAGTAGGAAGAGATAAGGATAAAAACCACCTTTTAAAGTTACAGTGAAAAAGAGATTTCTTTGAGCATTAGTGGTAGGATTTGATCTGTATTGTTTTTAACCATATGGCAAGAGATACAGAACTTGACAATAGTGGCTTCATATATATAAAATGTAGATTGATTGTCAGTCATGAACAAGCAACCTGCTCTGCGCAGATAAGAAAAAATGAAAGATTAATCAAAGTAAATAAACAAGCACCTTATATAGACAGTTACACTGCATAATCCAGGCCTAACTCCTGTTTCTCTACTTGAAATTTTTTTTTCACTTCAATAAAACCATCTTTTCTTAACTCTCATTCAGCTTTGCCCTTGCCTTTGCCTTTAAAGACACTACCTTGAAAAATAACTAATGTTATTTTCCCGTAACTAAAGCCTAAGGGTTTTCTAATTCACCCCTCAAAATGACTATTACAAAAATATGTGTAATAACTATGTAAAAACAATATCTCTATTATACAAAAACTGAATGCATTTTAATACAGTTTTATGTTAACTTTATTTTGAGGTTATATATTTGCAAAATGCAAGTGCCATGGGCCTTTTATCAAAAAAGGAAGGTACTCTGTGTATTTGTTCATAGTAATTTTGTTCCATTCTCTTTCTTGTCTGCTCTCTTTTTCCTATTCAAAGTATAATGTGCTATAACTATAATGAGGCAAATGATTCCTATTAAACTTATTGCTATTAAAACTCCTTTCATTATAAGAGAATCTCTTCCTAGTACAGGAGCAGAGTTTGGAGAAATAAACAGAGAAACCTGGGCAACATTAGATACAGCAGACTTTAAGGAGTTCTTATCCATTGCTCTCATGGCCACATAAATTCTGCGGCTTTCTTGTGTTTCTCCATCAGGTTCAAGTCCATTTAAGAAAAGTTTGGGTAAGAATGTAAACATCTCCCTGGTGCCAGCTTGCTGAGGTTTTAGCTTTGACATATTTACTAAAACGGCATTGTTAAAGTCATCTTGAATACTCTGTAGGTTGTTACTCATTCTTATTTCATAGCTTGTAGCTGAAATTAAAAGAATAAATGGAGGAGTTAAGTCACTTTGAGAAGTTTTCTAGTTTATTAAAAATGACTAATGAGAATAGCAATGGAAAAGTCAAAATGTCTAGGAATCAACATAAAAAGAATTAAGAATAAGAGCAAAATTTTAAAACATTACATAAAAACCCACACTAAAACCTGGGCATGAGGACTTGTGTTTTTTTGAAAGCAAGATCTAACATAATAAAGATGTTATTTTTCCCTGAGATGTTATGGAAAGTTTATGTGATTTTTATTAACAGTGTCTCTGATTCTTGCTTTAACTAGTGAAGCTTATGGTAAAGCTTATATGGAAAATAAATGATAAAAATTGTCATACAAAGTTTGAAAGATAGTGGTGCAGAAGAACTAAACCAATGCCCCAAGAACTCAAACCCTGACACTAATATATGAATAAACTTATATTCTAAAGTAGGTCAAATATATTTAGGAATTTAACATATGATAAAGGTGAAATTCTAATTAATTTGGGGGTGGCAAATATTTCTCAATAAATGGTGTTATGACTGTCAGATTAAAAAAAAAATAGGAAAAAGATATAGTGGGTGGAGGCCTGGAAGTTAGCACTGGCCTTAGAAATGGAAAGTGGAAGGGACTCCATCAAGGTACATCCAAGTATGGGCAAGAAAGACCCCAATCTGGGAACTGCTTTTAACTTGTGTAACAAAAATGATGGCCAGAAGTGGGAGAGGAAAATGCATCAAGGTTTGCATGAGTCATAGGAAATGGTCCCCTAAATCTGACTTATAAACACATGAATAAATATTCATTGGAGAATTTTCAGAAAACTAGTTACTTCCAGTTTGGGGAAGCATGTGCTCTGTAGTGCAGAACACAGTTTTGCTGAATTGGCCACCTTCATGTGTGTGTTTATGTCCCCAGTGGAGATTTCTGTGTGATTAGTGCCAGTGAGTCTACCAGGGCTGCTTCTTCACTTCTAGAGCAGCAGACTTTTTAAGGCAACCTTCTGTAGCTTTTTAGTCTCTAAACCCTAAAGCTGTTTCCACTCAACTAATCTTTGACATAGTAATTAGAAATACCATCTTGTAGAAAAATAGATAATGAAACCAGCAAACGTACCCTGCCCCTGATCGAAGTCTTCTCCAGGTGCTGTCCAAGACAGGGTCACTTCCTCTTCCATTTTTACAGCTTTCAAGTCAACAATTTTGCACGGTGGAAACACATCAGGATGGGGGCCAGTTGGAACTCCCACCACTGAAAAGGAGCCCCCTGAGCTAACTCGGCTAAAGCCCCACTTTTGCTCCTCCTCACTTCTGCGCACTGATTTTCTTGGAGCATTCATCTGAATATTACCTAAGATACAAAAGAATCACCAAAAAAAGACAAATTAAAAATCTCCTGAACAGCTTGTTCTTAACAGGTTATTAAGAGGCTTTTTAAAACCCTTTTAACCACATCTTTAGAATAACTAAGTTTATGCATCCAATAATTCATTAATGCATTCATTTATTCACTCCTTA